ACGGATATCTTGATACCACATGACTAACGGATATCTTGATACCACATGACTAACGGATATCTTGATACCACATGACTAACGGATATCTTGATACTGCATACAGTATTCATGACTAACGGATATCTTGATACCACATACAGTATTCATGACTAACGGATATCTTGACACCAAATACAGTATTCATGACTAACGGATATCTTGATACCACATACAGTATTCATGACTAACGGATATTTTGACACCAAATACAGTATTCATGACTAACGGATATCTTGATACCACATACAGTATTCATGACTAACGGATATTTTGACACCAAATACAGTATTCATGACTAACGTATATCTTGATACCACATACAGTATTCATGACTAACGGATATCTTGACACTAAATACAGTATTCATGACTAACGGATATTTTGACACCACATACAGTATTCATGACTAACAGATATCTTGACACTACATACAGTATTCATGACTAACGGATATCTTGATACCACATACAGTATTCATGACTAACGGATATCTTGATACCACATGACTAACGGATATCTTGATACCACATACAATATTCATGACTAAATCTTCTTCCTTTTTAGCAATCATTGCCGTTGCTATGGGAGCAAGAGAAAATCATTTCAACCGACCAGCCAGGTCGTCAGAACATATACGATACCACAGGTATGGATTTAAAAGTTTTCATTAAGAGATTCAGCTAAAGGAGGGTTTGATTGGAGGATATGAATTCATTATCACACTTTATCCTCCTCTTTAAAGACGTTTGAAGGTACCAGCAGATCTTCGTTAGGCCATGTTTAGCTTTTTGTTTCTTTATATGATAGATGTGTAATAATTATAATCCTCACGATGAACTGACCTATTTTAACTACTAGCTTTTTTTTATATATAGATTTGTTATAGTTGTAAGCAGTATCAAGAGCTGACCTAGATTTTGTTTTGTTGAACATCTTTATCCTCACAACGAAGATGGCAGGTGCTAATTAAGATTTGCAGCTATTTGAAAAGTAATTAAATAGTTGTGTTACCCCTTAGCAACAGGATACAGCCAACGAACACGAGTTGGTTAAACTTCTAGAATTAGAGGGTGTGATATTACAAGAGTAATGTGTAAAAAATATTCTTGTAATATGGTTTTGACAGTTCGGTAAATTAACCATCAAGTATTAGTTTTATGCTTCAAAATAACTTACTGATAGAAGTCTGTATTCTTTCAAATTATGTGTTACTTCAAAATAACTTACCGATAGAAGTCTGTGTTACTTCAAAATAACTTACCGATAGAAGTCTGTGTTACTTCAAAATAACTTACCGATAGAAGTCTGTGTTACTTCAAAATATGTGTTGCTTCAAAATAACTTACCGATAGTAGTCTGTGTTACTTAAAAATAACTTACCGATAGAAGTCTGTATTCTTTCAAAATATGTGTTGCTTCAAAATAACTTACCGATAGAAGTCTGTGTTACTTCAAAATAACTTACCGATAGAAGTCTGTATTCCTTTAAATAACTTACCGATAGAGGTCTGTATTCCTTTAAATAACTCACCGATAGAAGTCTGTATTCCTTTAAATAACTTACCGATAGAAGTCTGTATTCTTTTAAATAACTTACCGATAGAAGTCTGTATTCCTTTAAATAACTTACCGATAGAAGTCTGTGTTACTTCAAAATAACTTACCGATAGAAGTCTGTATTCCTTTAAATAACTTACCGATAGAAGTCTGTATTCCTTTAAATAACTCACCGATAGAAATTCGTGTTCTTTCAAAATCAGTTACCAACAAAAGTCAATGTTATCTCAAAAATAATCAATGATAGATATTAGTGTCACTTCAGTTAGTCTTTATAGTTAGTTGTTATACACAGTCTTCAACTAGTCTTGTTATTCACAGTCTTCAACTAGTCTTGTTGTTATCCACAGTCTTTAACTAGTCTTGTTATCTACAGTCTTCAACTAGTCTTGCTGTTATCCACAGTCTTCAACTAGTCTTGTTGTTATCCATAGCCTTCAACTAGTCTTGTTGTTATCCATAGCCTTCAACTAGTCTTGTTCTTATCCACAGCCTTCATCTAGTCTTGTTCTTATCCATAGCCTTCAACTAGTCTTGTTCTTATCCACAGCCTTCATCTAGTCTTGTTCTTATCCACAATCTTTAACTTGTCTTGGTGTTATCCACAGTCTTCAACTAGTCTTGCTGTTATCCACAGCCTTCATCTAGTCTTGTTGTTATCTACAGTCTTCAACTAGTCTTGCTGTTAGCCACAGCCTTCATCTAGTCTTGTTGTTATCCACAATCTTTAACTAGTCTTGTTGTTATCTACAGTCTTCAACTAGTCTTGCTGATATCCACAGTCTTTAACTAGTCTTGTTATCTACAGTCTTCAACTAGTCTTGTTGTTATCCACAATATTTAACTAGTCTTGCTGATATCCACAGTCTTCAACTAGTCTTGCTGTTATCCACAGCCTTCATCTAGTCTTGCTGTTATCCACAGCCTTCATCTAGTCTTGTTCTTATCCACAATCTTTAACTTGTCTTGGTGTTATCCACAGTCTTCAACTAGTCTTGCTGTTATCCACAGCCTTCATCTAGTCTTGTTGTTATCCACAGCCTTCATCTAGTCTTGTTGTTATCCATAGCCTTCAACTAGTCTTGCTGTTATCCACAGCCTTCAACTAATCTTGCTACTATCTACAGTCTTCATTTAGTCTTGTTGTTATCCACAGCCTTCATCTAGTCTTGTTGTTATCCACAGCCTTCATCTAGTCTTGTTGTTATCTACAGTCTTCAATTAGTCTTGTTGTTATTCACAGCCTTTAACAAGTCTTGTTGTTATCCATAGCCTTCAACTAATCTTGCTGCTATCCACAGTCTTCAGCTAGTCTTGCAGTTATCCATAGCTATCAACTAATCTTGCAGTTATCCGTAATATTTGTTTCGAAGTTACAAAATAAATAATAATGAATCAGCTGTCATTTCAACTTTTGTTCTATATCTACAGACATATCCCATTTATCCTTCAACGACATCAGTTAACAGACTCCCAGGGCATCAGCAGTCCAGGGTATAATCCTCATTACCAGCGGGAACAGCAACACCACCTAACGAATCGTCTACTCGTTGAAAAGAAAAGACGATGTCAGAGAGTGCTAGATCGCACCACCAACTACAGTAAAGTATCTACAATATCACGTGCGAAACCCAGTCCACGTGCAGGTGAGTGGTTCACAGAATATATTTTATGGTACAGTATTAGAGAAGAAAAAAAAGACTGTAAACTCAAATAATTACAGCGTAAATTTTAGGAACTCCGATTTTTCTGTAAAAGTCATTGTTCACTGCGATATATGCTACTAGGGGACGCCACAGTATAGAAATAAACATACACATAATAGAATCGTACAGACATACATGTGTTATTATTATTATGTTGTATTATTATCTAAACAGTGAGCACTCTGTATTAAAAGTAATGAATTAACTTTGTTAGTGTTAGAAACATTAATGAAATACCTATACAGAATCATGCGCAAAAATTGTTTTAAAGATTGCACACTTTATAAAAAACCCTAACACAAAACGTATTTAAAATGTCACAAGTAAAAAAAAAAAATAGTTAACTTTCTCTTAACTAACAGTTGATAAGACTAAAACAAACTCCAATTAAATTATCACGGGGGGGGGGGCAGTCTTCGCTTTGTCTTAACATTGGTAAAACTAGTTATATTATTCACCAACGTTTCTTCTTATCAGTCCGTAGTTTTGAACTTCTAGGTTTAATTGTTGTTCCATTTCTTCTATATCGACATTGACCAGTGTTTCGTCGTCGTCGTGTTAATAACGTAACTCAGTATATTTGATATTGTTAACATTTTTTTAGATTTTGAGTTTATTTCATTGTCATCATAGGAAGACAACGCTATCAATTAATGCTCCGTCGTCATGGGCACCGACGATATACCATCATACCGGTATCACGGAACAGTTACTCCGGAGGAAGAAACCAAAGGCGACGTAACTACATCAAGACTACAATCTCACTTCCGTCTAGAAATTATCATGGTCATTACAAATCTTACTCGGGATTATCAAGGGTCAGTGCTACGGAGATTAGACTAACGAAACCTTTAACCTCTATAATCCCTGTTTCTAAAACGTCCACTGTCACGGTTCCTTTGGGAAATCCGCCTTCTCATCAGAAGCGAAGAAACAATGTGGCGATCACTCCTACTCCGAGAACAGCTCAACTCGACCGATATTCTGCCAGTCCTAACGGAAGGAGGAGAATTCGCGTATATCTAAAAGGTGCAAGAGGAAGACACCCTTACATATTTAACAACATAGGTACGAATCTATCAATAAATAATATTATACCTTCAGGCTGATCTTAAAATAATCTGTTGGAAATTTCGCAAACTTTTGATTAATGAATCTTCTATAGTTTTTATTTCGACATGATTTCTAGCTTTATATATTATTTCATCTGATTTTCAGTTGATTTTATAATCAAGATACATCCTGTGTAGAAAAACAAAAATTACATGTTTGACCGTTTTCAACATACCTTTTTATTTTCTGCAGGCCGTGTTAATTAAACTCAAGTTATTAAATACCAATGTATCCATCCGCTAGTTTTTTTGTTTTACTAAGATTACGAGTTCACTCATTCAAGTTGTCTGTACCTAATGATTTCAGGTTAAGCTGGAGAAACGTTGTAATCGTAGATATCATACTGTTACGCCTTCAGTCGTTAATTGATTTTCCGTAACTTCGTTCCCACGAAACTTTAGCGACACAAGTCCTTTCTTAAATAAAACTGGTTTATTCTTTCCGAATACAACTTTACGATACACTCAACTTCAACAGTCGCGCTATAACAAACTATAATAACGACGTTAACTTCAACAATACCTTCTGACTGCAGTTCAATTACTCATTACTTACACACGTTGTCCAGTCACGTTGTGACCATCTTATATATACCAGACTACCCTATATCTAGTAAATGCTAGGGCATTCACGAAGGAACAAGATACTTCTAGAAACGTGGCGTGACACTAGTCACGTGACCTCGCTGACGCAACAATACTGTGTGCATCATGTGATAAATAAGTTATTAAGATATCATTTATTTGTTGAAATAAAGACTGTTGTTCAGTGGACAAGCGTTTGAATTAAATCGGACTTGTTAACCCAGCTCTTTATGTATCTAACTATCACACTGTTTGTCTGTCTATTTGTATTTTTTCCATCTACATCTATTTGTGAATTATTCTTATTATTTAAGTAGTGATAAAATTCACTTTCTATAACTACTGATATTTCTAACTGAGAACTTTTCGTTATGTATTTCAGAAAAATGTGGTCAAAACTATTTGAATAAATTCAACTTCTGTTGATTTACTTCTTAAAACAGTAAATCTTTACGATTATAGAAGTGAGCAATTAAACCAGAAACATAACGTAATGTATATTGTTTCTGAAATGTCCTGCGGGACTAATCAACATTATTGCTGTTAATTCAACTGTTTGAAACAATGCTATTGTTGTTTAATGTACTGTTGGATTCACCACTTCCCATTGAGACATGTCGTCAAGCCGACTTTGAGGGGGGGGGGGACACTACCCCTCATCGGTAACCATGAGCAAGGCAAACTAAAGTACAATACCAGGACTTCTCACAACAGATTTAACCCAATAATATCTGACAAATCCAAGAATAAACGATGCCTCTTTCTTCCTTTTTGTGAAAATTTACATTTTTGATGATAAATTAAAAGAATAAAGAAAGTGAACATTGTTCCTTGTTAGTTTTAAAAATAATTTAACAAGCAAATGTTGATGATAAATCAGGAGTGCCTGGCTATGATGGAATCTGAGATGACTAAATCAGTCTAACACTGTTGTTAATAATAGTGTTAAACTCGTGCTTCGCGTGTGATGTATGTACTAAAATCATTTGACTACTGAAACATTGTTTAGCAATTTTATTTAATTACTGTAGGCGGGATTGAATCCTTGACTTCCCGCATATGAAGCGTGTGCTGTACCAAAGCCCCTAATTTTTTTTTTTTTTCACATATATATGTATGCAGCATTGTTAAGTAGAATACCATATATATGAGAAGGATATATGTTTTTAAATTATGGTATCAAAAAGTGTACAAATCAATCGTCGTCATGTTTTTTGTTCTTTTTTTTTTATTACTTGTGTGTATTTGTGTCTAAATCGCATTTGTATATCATCTGAAATCTTTCGCGCCATGCTGTAGATCATCGAAAATAAATAAGTTGTGGCAGTGACTATTAAGGCTAATTGCCATAAATTATACAGCGGGTAAACTCGCGCTTCACGTATGAGACGAATATAAATTTTAGGCCTACTTGTCAATTTTTAGGCACCTGTTTGAATCTGTATTGAGATGTAATGATATTATTTATATTATATTATTTATAAGCCATGGAAAGGTAAATAATTAACTTAATGTATGTTCTTGTGTGTTTGTTTATGTTACTAAAGTGATTATATTTAACGTTAATATTATAAATGTCGTGGTTTTGGGTTTTGCATTCATACGTTAAAAGTCGTTCACTTTCGAAAATTTTTCTTGGTCGAACTCTTGATAAAGCGACGTCATAAAACAGTGAATTTTTAAAATTTCCAATCAACAAGTATAAAAATCAACTGTTGTTGTGTGTTTATTTTTTAATTTCTTGTGTGTATATGTGTCTAAATCGCATTTGTATATCATCTGAAATATGCAATTATTTTCTTTCGCGCAATGCTGTAGAGCATCGAAAATAAATGAAGTTGTGGCAGTGACTATTAAGGCTAATTGCCATATATATACAGGGTGTAAACTCGCGCTTCACGTATGAGGCGTATTTAAACTTTAGGCTTAATTTTCTATCTTTAGGCATTTGTTTGAATCTGTATTGAGAAGTAATCATATTGCGTTAATTATAACTTATAAGCAATGGAAAGATAAAGAATGAACTTAATGTATTCTTCTGTGTGTTTGTTTATGTTACTAAAGTTAATGTAATAAACGTCGTGGTTTAGCATTCATGCGTTAAAAGTCGTTCATTTGTGCATTCGTATAAACGTAAAAGTACCACTGTACAATTAGCCAAAAGGAATATTGAGTTTCCATGCAAGTATCACGCATACACATACGGACTGACTGAAAAACATTGTTCTTTTAATTACATAGATGTACATTAACAGGAAAAGGTGAAGGGAGATACGTGCCCCTACTGCCCTATGTGTTTGGAGTCTAATTAATAAATCCTGTTAGTATTAATGATTTTTTTATAAGGGCTGGAATGATCTCGTGGCATTCAGAAGATGTTTGTTGTTGGTCAATAGATAAGTTATATGTCACATGTAGCCCTAGGGTTGAAAGTTTTACAATGGACTTTTATAAGGATTTGAATTTTTTATTGTATTTCTACTAGCAAGTCAGTCATGGAGCCCTTGTTTTCGATGTCCATCTGATCACCTGATAACAGTGGACCGTGGACGTCGCTGTGCCCTGGCTTCCTTGCCCCCTCTCAGATCCTGTTCTAGGTAAGAGTAATGAAGTACGTGAATCTGATTTGACATTTATTCAGAATTATTAACAGCATTGATCAATTCTAAGAGCTCAGTTAAAAAAACACAGCAATTCAAAGGATGTAAGTTTAAGTGTCGTACTGATTAACAGACTACTTAAATAGAACACTTACGTAATTGAACTAACTGTTACGACAGCGGAAGTCACGCGACGCTGGGAGCATGCGCGCTGGAGTTTCTAGAAGGATCATGACTTATCGAGGAACCTCGCGAATGTCCGAGTGTTTGCCAGGCGCCCTCTTTTTAGTATGTAAGCCCGGTAAATAAAGCCAGCGAGAGATAGATATGCAGATAGATTGAAGATAGAGATAATTGAGTCAAGCGAACAGTGGGTACCGTAAGTAAAGTGTGTGAATCACTGTGATTTTTAGCGTGTGTTATAAAGGTTGTTAAGTTTAAAGTGACTGTGGAAATTCTGTGTACTATAAAGTTTGTATTGAGAAAGAATAAACTAGCTTTAATCAAGAAGGGACTTGTATCGCTGAAGTCACAGGAAATAATTTTTACCAGAAATTGTCAAACAAGCAGATACGTAACAAATTGGTGTCAGGAGTGGGATAGAAAATAAAAAAAGAAGATGGAAACGAGAGGTGGAAAATCAAACTACAGCTTAGCAGATTTGATGACAGCAATAGAAGACCAGCAAAAAAAACAAGAAGAACGAGAAAATAAACAAGAGAAGAACGAGAGAAAAAACAAGAAGAGAGATTACAGCAGTTGTTGGGGGAAAAGAAAAGAAACAAGAAGAGAGATTACAGCAGTTGTTGGGGGAAAGAAAAGAAACAAGAAGAGAGATTACAGCAGTTGTTGGGGGAAAAAGAAAAGAGACAAGAAGAGAGACAATAGCAGTGGCAAGAAAACCTGCAACAGTGGCAGCTCGAGCAGCAAAATAAATAAGAGATTACAGCAGTTGTTGGAGGAAAAAGAAAGGAAAAAAAGAAGAATGAGAAAATAAACAAGAAGAGAGACTACAACAGTGGCAAGAAAACCAGCACCAGTGGCAACTGAAACAAGAAAAGAAACAGGAAGAAAGTATCCAACAGTTCAGAGAAAGCCAGCATACACAAATGGAAAAGATTAGTAAATTTCAAAGTGAATTAAATACATTAAAGGATGATTTACTGTCTTTTACACAGGGAGAATATATTAACCATGGACCTAATCAGCCCCAGACAACAGGAAGCTCTTTCAAGACCCTGTGGCTAAACCCTAATGCAGACATTTTCAGTCCTGCCAGAAGTCACATTCCAGACATGAGTGTCAGCAATAGGGGTGATCTAGTATGAAGGC